CTGAGGAAGATTCACCCTGAGCTAACATCTGTTGCCAATCTTCCTCTTTATGTATGTGAGCTGCTGCCACAGCATGGCCACTGATGAGAGGTGTAGGTCTGCACCGAGGAAGTGAACCCAGGCCACTAAAGCAGAGCGCGCTGAACTTAACCACTAGGCCATTGGAGCTGGCCATGGGAACTGAACTTTTGTCCCTACAAAGAAGCAATGCCATCTTTCTATCATATCCATCCATCCATCCATTTATATATCTATATTTATCTTTGTCTTTCTACTATACCCTAGGGCTACAGTTTAGTAATTGTATGTATTGTATGGAAGCTATACTTTAAATGCAGGTGCACACACATACGCACATCCTTTGTATACTGTTAACCACTGAAGCATTCCCATTTAATATTGTGTGTGTCAGGGGGAGAGAGAGAGAGAGATTCAAAATGACAGTCAAAAATTAAAAAGAAAGAACTCTTCGGGCTCGCCCTGTGGCATAGAGGTTGAGTTTGGTGCCCTCCGCTTTGGTGGCCCGGGTTCGCAGGATCGGACCCCAGGTGTGGACCTACGACACTTGTCAGCCATGCTGTAGCAGCAACCCACGTACAAAGTACAAGAAGACTGGCACAGATGTTAGCTCAGAGCTAATCTTCCTCAGAAAAAAAAGACAAAAAAAGAACTCTTTGGTTACCTTTGGAGGATTTCAGAGAACCAACTCAATCTGAAAACCGGTAGGTAAGAGGAAAACCAGCATTTATTCTGCCTTTTCTATATAAACTGTACTGCAGGAAAATAAAGCAGTTGATAAGAGAAAGTTCTTTATAGAAGTCCAACTAATAAATGAAAAAGGAATGATAAAATTAGAATAACATTATTTTGCAACCCTTAATAAAATAATGGATCTAAGCAATGATCATCAGTGGCTGCTAAAACCATTAGGTGAAAAGTTGATAGGAAACTTGACAATGGATAGATTAGGCTGACAATACTTAAACCTAATGATCAGTCTTATCACCACAGAGAGAGACAACCAGAAGTTATGTGCCTTATGATATTATGCAAAAGAAGGCACAAACATCTATAAAGTATTCTTTAAAAAAAAATTAAACTCAAGTCTGATCAAGCCCCTGTATTTAACTACCAGCTCGTTAAAAGCACAGGGGTCAGAGAAATATGGTAAATGACACCACAAAGATATTGTCAGCAAAACTCAAAATGTGAAAAATTCTGTAAGACAAATAACCTACTTTATTCATCAAATAAATTACAAGGAGGGAAAAGGACAGAGAAAGAAGGAACTAATGATTAAAAGAGACTTAAAAAGTATATCAATTAAACGTAATATGTGGACCTTGTTTAGATCTTGACTCAAGCAAACTGTACAAAAAATCAAAACCCTTTATGAGACAATGGGAAAATGTGAATACTAATTGGATATTTAATTATATTAAAGAATTATTAATTTTCAGGTGTGTGATAGTATTGTGGTTATGATAAAACAAGAAAAATGTGTGCCTATGTTTTCAAGATATATACATATGCACACATACATATATTTACAGATAAAATTGATATGATGTACAAGAATTGCTTCAAAAGAGTCTGGGAGAAAGGTGCAGGGAGAACTGGTATAGATGAAATAAAATTGGCTATGTATTGGGGCCGGCCCTGTGGCCTAGTGGTTAAGTTCAGCGCACTCCGCTTCAGCGGCCCAGGTTCGGTTCCCGGGCGTGGACCTATACCACTGATCAGTGGCCATGCTGTGGCGGCAACCCACACACAAAATAGAGGAAGACTGGCACAGATGTTACCACAGGGCAAATCTTCCTCAGCAAAAAAAATGGCTAGGTATTAAATGTTGAAACTGGGTGATGGGTACATAAAGGTTCATTATATTATTCTATTTTTATATATGTTTTTAAATGCTCATTTTAAAATTTGAAAAAAAATAAAGAATTGTCCTATGTAGACTGTTAACCTCTGAGGCATTCTTATTTAACATACTAATTGAGTACACCCATGCATGAGGCACTATTCCAGGTGCTAGAGACACAGTATAACAGGAGAGAAGCATTTTAAAATTCCCTACAACAGAGCAACGGATAAATGAATTATCACATAATTACTAATACAGAGGAAGAAGTAATTAGAAGTATATAATTCCAGATATTTACTAATAGTAGTTGACAAATATGAACATGAACAATAAGTAAATGGGTTTTTTTGGTAATCATCTCCCATTGTTTCCTCTTCTGATCCATAGCTTTCCAATAGTACCAAAGTAGTAAGCCAAAGTAAAAATATCATCTACTTGCTTCCTCCTTTCTACACAAACATTGATTGCATATTGTTTGAAAAATTTTGGTTTCCTTTTGTTAGGACAGCTTAAAATCAAAATTATGACAAACACATTTGGCCACTTCCCTCCTTTTTATTTAACTTTCTACTACAACATAATAACAAGAAGCATTTAATTAAAGTAAAAGAAAACTGAGCAAAGTAAGAAAAAATTTAAAAACAACAGCTTGAGAACTTTCCATGTAATCATGGATATGAAGGCCAAAACTGTCTTCTATAAAAATGTAGGTAAAAATGATAAACTACTAAATCTAAAATTGGTATATTGTGCTAGCCCAATAAATACTGATTATTTCCTACAAATAAGAAACTGTGACAAAGAATTATAGACTTCTTTTAAAACTTAGTTTGAAATCTCATACTTAAAAATTAGACTATTATAAATATCAATACCTACTTATATACATACACATTTACAAGCAGTAGCTTAAACATTTCAAAATAAAATATAAAAATATAACTATATAGTTGTCCTTTATGATTTTTTTCTTAATTTATATTTTTAAACGATTTTTCTTTAAACTGTTGCAATACTAAAACTCTCTTGACTATAAATATTTTAATGTAACTGAGCACTGGATAGGTAACATTGGAACAAAGCACTTATTAAAGATATGTATTATGTAAAGAAATTAAGAGATATTACTTATAGAAATAAGCCATTCTGTTTCACAAAAAAAGAAGAGGACAGTCACAAATTTCTAGGTCACAACAGAAAGGAGCAAGTAACATTAGATGGAAAGAACAAAACATTGTTTAATAGAAATATGATTTTGACCACATCACCTAGTTCCCCACGAAGGACCTTCACGTTCAGAAAATCATGAAGGAAAAGAACTGAAATACACAGAGCAGTTGTAAACCACTTATAAAGCTCATATTGGGAGACAGGATTAAATACACAGGATCTTGTTAGGGAATAACAATGTCAGATGTTATTCAATGTATCTTTTTTGATTTGGGGGACATATTTTGGTACATGGTATCTCTGAAAACATCTAACTCTGAGTTCTCTAAAAAACCAGTTCAACACTACACTGTTACACGCTGAATATTCAAATAGAAGCAGCCAACAGAAAGGCCAAGCCTCTACACAGAGGTGAGCAGACCCAACATTAGGCTATGCAGCCTGGGTATCACTACTGCTTTGTCAATTGTTCTGGCAGCAACAGGAATCTCTATCTCAGGAGGCAAAATTTGTTTAGAAAAATAATAATAATAACATCATGTACTGCATCCTTAGAAAACTGACCAGCTAAAACAGTGACCAAGAAAGAAAATCAGATGAATGAAGCACTAGAAAATGAGAGATTTACTAGCCATGATAAATGGCGCTCAAGTATTCAATACCAGTTTCTTATAAACAAAAGAAGAAATAACAGACCCAAACATAAAGAGGTACATGGCACTAAGTCAGACAGAGCCCAGAATGCTGTCCTTTTGACACCTAGCTCTGTATTCTTTTCATTACACAGCACTACTTTTCTCTTTCAATGATGTCTTCAATTAGATCATTATAAAAACAACTTGCATTTACTGAAGACGTATACATCCCAATCAGCTTGTCCAATGACCCCATTAGAACTTGGGGTAGAGCCATTACCCCACTTGCCCAAGATGACACGTTTCCAGGCAGAGTAAGGTCTAAAAGAACCCACATGCTCTGCATTCCTAGAAAAACAAAGCGCTGTCTGAAGCCCAAACACTCAGGTAAATGGCGTTCTCTTCACAGACACAAAGCCTAATTTGGCTAATGTTTCCCACAGATTTTGTCCACAAGAATTCCATGCTAGTGTATTCTTGTTCTGGGCCCATAGTATCCTGTATAGCTCCATCAATCTAAGATCACAACCTGTGAAATTAGCATGTTCCAAGTCACTTTCATAAAGTTAACTTTCTTTTTCAACTGCTAAGTACCTAAAAAGCACCCTGTTTCTTTTAAACGTCACATCCAGACCATTAACACCACTGAGTGTCAATTCAAAGATAAATATATTAAACATCTGTTAAATCTATTATGTTTTTTTTAATTTTTTCCATGTACCTTTTTAATACTTAAAATTTTATCTATATTCTAACACATATATTTTCCCTCAAGCAATTGAGATTCTCACCAAATCATAAAGACTCTGACAGAGAGTAAATTTTGTCATACAAATACTTTATATACTTTTTATGCACACATAATACCACAACATACAAAATACATATTCTTTTCTAAAAGTATGTGAATTGCTATTTGGTTTTTCTCTGTTCTCACTAATACACTCTCTTTCAACTGTATCCAAGCCCTAAAGTAACTTGAAGAAAACTCGAAATAAATGAACCTGATTAAAACAAATTCAAGGGGCCACACCACCAAAGAAGCAAATCCCTAATATCATGTGCTCCAAGAACTATTGCAGAATAGTTTTTCAAAAGTACTATAATATAGTCTATTTCAGAACATGAATTATGTTAATATAATTTCCTAAATTTAAATAAAACATAATAGATTCCTAAAAACAAATGACAACCAAGCAATTATTTCAAATAGTAAAATGTCATGTCTTTATCAAATGCCAGTTACTCATTTCTGTCGACAACTGTCCTGCAGAATTCATAAATAAATTCAAACAGTATCTACCTGAAAAATGTTCTGAGAAACTTACCATCATTTTGGCTCTTGCCCTTCATCTCCTCCTTCCACGATAGGATGGTGTTCAGGGGAACATAGTCCCTTATGTATTCTTTGCGTCTCTCCTCTAAGGTCATCTTCAGTAAACGTTCTTGCAAAATAAAAGCAGAATCTCTATTTGTATTTAACTTGTAAGTTCAGGAATTATTTTATAATTTAAATATTAACCATATTAAACTAACCAAAGAATTGATGTGGACTTAAGGAAGACCAAAATGCAAACTTAATTACTCCCTATTTGAGTTTTAGAAGGTGTCAAATTAATACCACATTATGAAAAAAGAAAAGATCAATGTTCGATGAGGAAGACTCTCTTGTGACAGTCTAAGAAATAAGTAAACTCTTTCAATCAACACTTATTGACAGTCGATGTGCCAGGTGATATGTTTATACATTGCAGGTACAAAAGCGATCCTTAACCTTGAGTTCACAACACAAAAGAGGAAATGGATAAGATACAAAATAATAGCTACATAAATAAAATACAAATGCTAAGAGCACAAGAAAGGCAGCCACCAAGATATTTCCTTAATTCTACGATGCCATCAACAATAAAAGTGCACTTTCAATTTAATAATACCTTTGTGGAGGTGATAGAAGGTGACACCTTGAATATACATCTTGATTATAAGATTAAAATATTTTTAAAAATGCATCTTAGAATTAATCACAGATGGCGTCATTTATAAAGAACTCACTGTGTGGCAGGTACTTTACATGTATAATCTCATTGAAATAATCTTCCCAACAACTCAGCAAAATAGACAGTAGTATTCCTATTTTGCAGATAGGGAAATGAAGCACATCAAAATTCAGTAGTTTGTCCAAAGCAAGAAAGCTTTCCATTAAAATACAGTCTATCTCCATTATGGAGATTATTATAATATCTCCATTAGTCAGACACTGTAGCCCATACTATTAGCCACTATACTATACTACCTTCTCAGGAAAAGCTCCCCAAAAGAGGTGATGTGTATGCTGGTTCCTAAAGGATAGGTAGAATTCTGTCATTAAGAGGCAAGAGGAAAGGCTATTTCAGACTAATAGATCAATGTAAACAAAGATAAGGAGATATGAATAGTTTAATGAAGCTGCAAGATATGCTAAGAGGAAGGGAGTAGCCACAAAAGTGAAAAGTAGCTGGAAATATAAGTTAAAATGAAAATGTATAGGAACTTGTATACCATGTTGAGCAGTTTAACCTTTATCCTACAAAGTAAACCACTAATATTCAAAGTTGATTATGCATATCTCAGAAAGTACATAGAACAATCCACTAGGATACAGGAAAAAAAGTAAGAAATTCTATTTATATTTCTTTTTAATCTAAGAAATGAGAAAGAAATTAAGATTGATTAGTATTCAATATATCAAATCACATTGGCATCCTCACTCATTCTGTATGTCAGCAGTCATGTATCATATATTTTACCAAAGGTCTCCACAACATAGAAAGATTTGACAGTTGTACTCTCACTCCCCAAGTGTCTTTCAGCATATTACATGGTACAGTATTATAGTTTAGGTGAACGGATTTAAGGACAGAATCTAGTTTTAGGTAATCTAACTCTCAAAAAATAATGACTTTAAAGGATTCTTTCAAAGAAATAAACTGCAGCAAGTATTAATATAAGCATAAGTGAACAAAAAAATGGGGAGCCAGCATTTTTCCCTGCTCCTAGAATTGGCTTTTCTTCAGCCACATTAGGAAACAAAAAAAAACAGATACAGTAGTTCCCCCTGATCTGCAGTTTCATTTTCCTCAGTTGCAGTTACCCGTGGTCAACCGTGGTCCGAAAATATTAAATGGAACATTCCAGAGATAAACAATTCATACGTTTTAAATTGTGCGCCATTCTGAGTAGCTTGATGAAATTTCACCAGGGACGTGAATCACCCCTTTTTGTTCAGTGTTATCTACACTGGATACACTATCTGCTTGTTAGTCACTTAGTAGCCACCTCAGTTATCAGATCAACTAATGCGTTATCACAGTGGTTGTGTTCAAGTAACGCTTATTTTACTTAATAATGGCCTCAAAGCACAAAGTAGTGATGCTAGCAATTTGGATAACCCAATGAGGAGCCCTAAAGTGCTTCCTTTAAGTGAAAAGGGGAAAGTTCTCGACTTAACAAGGAAAGAAAAAAATTGTATGCTGAGGTTGCTAAGATCCACAGTAACTTTTATTACAGTATATTGTTAAAATTGTTCTGTTTTATTATTAGTTATTATTGTTAATCTCTTATTGTGCCTACCTTATCAACTAAACTTTATCATAGGTATCTATGCAGGTATAGGAAAAAACATAATACTGGTATCAGTACTATCCAAGTTTCAGGCATCCATGGGGGGTCTTGGAAGGCATCCTCCCTGGATAAGAGGGGACTATGGTATTTTAATCAAATATGACATATTCAAATCACAAATACTACAATACTCAAGGATCAACACTGTTGAATTCAAGATGCCTACAAGGCATTCAAGTTGAAATCAAGAATCAGTAACTCAGGAAAGAGGTCTAGCCTAGAGATTTTGGAAATTATAACCTAAACTTCTAGTCCTACAGGAAGTTCACAGGGAAGGGTAAGGGAGGGGACCAAACCTCAAAGAAACAACATTTAGGGAGTGGACACAAAGAGGGGAAAAATGAAATAAAACTTAGATGTCACTGGGGGTACAAGGTGAACCAAAGTCTCAGTGATGTGGAAACCAGCAGAGAAAAGAGTTTTAATAAGCAGAAGAAGGAAAATATTGTCAAGTGCTACAGGAAGATCAGGAAGAATAAAAATTAATAAGCCATTGGTTTTATCAACTGGGTCACCAACAGCACTGAAAAGAGAACAAAGTGGTTAGTAGCGCTATCTGGGTTCTAATCCCAAATCATGCAAATCCATATGATCTTGGTTAATCTCTCTACATCTCAGTTTCTTTTTGAGGTAGGTTGGTAGGTATTCCCAACTTACAGATGAGGCAACTAACACAGAGAGGCTGAATAACTTACCCAAGGTTCCAGAGCTAGTAAGCAGTACAACTAAGATTCAAACCCAGGCAAATGGTGTTTAAAGGTCTTGACCCTACAGTATACTACCTCATAGGGTATTGTGAGAATTAAATGAAACAACTCATGTTAAGGTACTTAAAATAGTGCAGAGCACACAAAGAGGACTCTAATGGTAACTATTTTTATATTAGTACCATCCTCATTGTCATTACTGAATGACTTTAGGAACATTAGATTCATTAGACTATAACTGAGATCCAGGAGACTACGAGGGACTGAGGAAAAGGAAAGTGAGAACAGCAACTCCAAGGTGAAGCCCTGTGAAAGGAACACTACTTTAGGGTAGAAGAGACTTGAGGATTGTTACAGGCTGAGGAGAGGAACCTGAAGACACTGAGAAATTCAACATACTCAAAAGAGAATAAATGATGGCACAATATCTCAAAGAATACAGGAGATGAGAAAAAGAGCACAAGCAGAGATTTTAATCCTAGAAATCGTGAAAAGTGCTTCCTCTAAGACAGGAACAAAGCTGAAAGGACAAACGACATGTAAAGAAACAGACAAATGAGACTATGGAGGAAGATGTTAGGACTGCTCCATGTTATCTGACATGTATTTTCTCCGTGAATTAAAAGGCAATGTCATCGGTTCAGTATAGGAGGATGGGATGTTGATGAAATAGGAAGCTTGAAGGGATAGCAAATTTAAAATAATCACAAAAAGGAGGAAAAGGGATGACTAGGACTTACCAAAGCACTACTAGAAAAGCTCAGGTCACTAACATGGAAATATTACAATACCATTATCAGGCTGAAAGATTTATTATGAAGCAATTCGTAGTTTTTGTAAATGTCAGAAGATACATACGGGAACACAACCTGCCCTCTTCCTTCCATTTAAAAGTTTAAGTGTGGACACTTACAACAAAAACAATATCAATAATAAGACAAAAAAAAAAGAGATGAGTTAAGTTTCAGTACTTGATCATACACAGTAAGTGGTTTTGAATTAGGGCTCAAAATACTAGATCAATAATGTTTAACATATGTGGACTTGAGAACTCCTTAGTTACTTGTTTAAACAATGAAACATACTGAGGGCCACAGACATACATAGTTTCTTTGGCATTAAACAAAACTTTCCCTTAAAGAATGCTTCACCTTTGCAATGAATCCTTTCTCTCTGAACCAGACAGACCTACTCATTAAACGGTATACTGAGTTGAAGTTATGTTTATAGAATGCCTTGAAATTTCAATGAGATGGGTAAACCTTCCTTTAGATTTAAATATCAGCTGCAAAAATACGACACCATCCTCTCCAGTGCGATGAAAGGAAAAAGGTCATGCAGCCCATCAACTTCTTTAATACTAACTACTGTCCTGGAAATCCTTGGCTCCTTCTTGATGGCATAATATATATATTTTTAAATATTAAATATTCCAAAATCAGACATCATGAAAAGGCATTGAGACATACATTCAAGTCTTCAAGTTACAATAACTTTTTCTTTTAATGTTAAATTTCATGCAAAAATAGGTTAGTTTTGGACAGGAAAATGTTACTTTGTTAAATGCCTTCTTTGTGCATTTGCTTCTCTATTTAGAAAACATTAGTTTGGTTATATTTTTCCCTATTATTAGAAGCAAAAAAAGAAAAAAACATCAAGACATTAAAGATTCTAAAATGCCTGCTTGTCACAGTCCAACTGTGTAGATGTTAAATGGAAGGAACTGTTATAACATTGTTACTTTAGGAACATTATCTACTATGACAGTAAATAGTTCTTAAGTAATCACTATAATTTCATCAATGATTCATGTACTGAAAACAATCCCTATGTCTTCCACTATTTTGCCTTCATTATCAATAATACAAAGCTAACATTTCAAGACCATCAACAAAAAAAAGCACAAATGATTTTTCAATGCTTATGAGGTAATTCCTTGTGAATGTGTGTTGAAACTAAAGTAACCACTACTGTAAAAACAAAGCAAAATTATTTTACATTACTTTATACATCAGGCTATTATTCGCAACAGCATGTGTTTTGTGACATCAGAATTTTTAGTTCTATATATGCTCATAATTAAAACATAACTAAATGACATACAACCTAATCTTTCAATATTTTAAAGACCATTTTAATTGGGCTGTTCAGTTGCTATGTTAAATCTTCCCAGTAGTTAATTTGAAAAAAAATTCCCTCCTCCTGCATTGTTTGAAATAGTCCCTACATAGAGGATACTTTCTCTACATTCATTCCCTTTCTTACCTCCACTGTCTGGCCTTCCTGTTTATAAAGGCCAGGACTTGCCATAAAAATCGACAGGTTTTAAGGAGCTATTATCAAGCAAATCAACTTTTAATCTAGTCACCCCTTCATCCTTCTTCCAAAAAAAGGGGATACTTAGGAGAGATTTGCACTACCTCATTCGACCTCACCCTTGATACACAGGTTGGCTAGTAGCGATGCAAGTACGTTTTCCTACATTTCTGTGAACTCAAGTATAAAAACAAAAAGTTGTGAAAAGATGAAAGAAAAAACTCCAGAGACTCAAGTTTACCTGAGAATATTATCTAACTATAATAAGAGAGAGAGAGAGACGGCGGGCGGGCTGGACTGCACACTTCTGTGTCTTACAGAAATCAATGCCCGTCAATCTAGCTGATTCGGATAAGCCTTGATGTGCACAAAATTCAGGGGTGGGTTCATTCAGAGAGTGACATCAGTCTCACAATCTTACTCTGAGCAACTTCAGACTATGAATGGGGATGGAATATAGAGAAACACACTGCAGAGAGAAAAGCCCATTCAGACTTCTCTGAAGGCACCTATCCTCACGGACAAGACTCTCGTTTTGGGTTTCCCCGAGAGTTCCAGGTTTCAAAAGTCACACTGCTGCGCAGGAAGGGACCTAGAGAAGAGGAAAACACCTGAAGGTGGGGACATTCTGCCAGCTAGGGGGTGGAAGAGGACAGAGGCGAGCAGTGAATGGACGAGGGTCAGCGGGGAGCAAAGGCGCACAGTAGCAGCTGCAGCCGATATGACCGCCGGTGGGCAAGTGTCCGTGGGACACCCGGCCAGGAGTGCGAAAGTCCCAGCTGGGGTCCGGAGACGGGGCGGTGGACCTGAGGAACTGGTGCCGCGCGCGGGGGTCCACGCCGCCAGCCAGGCGAAGGCAGCCCCACCTGGGGCGAAGGCGACCCGAAGTGGCAGGCGGCGGGGAGGGGCGTGCGCCCACACGTGCGCGAGCTGCAGGTGCCCGGGGGCGGCGCGTGCCAGCCGGTGTGAGCGCGCGTATGCGCGTGTGTACACACGGACCCGCGAGGGAGGCGGCAGCGGCCGGCGGGCGCGAGGCGGGAGCTCGGGCGGAGGGCGCCGCGGCACACACAGCCCTGACCCCCGCCCCCACCCTACCCCAACCCCCGCACCCCAGGACTCGACGGGCCGGTTACCTTTCTCCTCTCTCCACACCTTTTTCTTCTTGTTGCTGGGGTACATGTTGCCGTGGGGGTGGCTGGCTTTAAGCTGCAAGTTCCCCAGGCTCACGGGCAAACAGGGTGTGTGTGGAGTGGGAGGGGAGGGAGGAGGCACTCGGGAGGGAAAAAGTGAAAGAGGCTCCGCGTCCCGCGCCGCTCGCCGCTCTCCACTCGCCGCTCTCCACTCGCCGCCCTCCTCCCCAATCCCGCGCTCGGCTTCGGCTCCCACCCGCCTCAGCCCCGCGGCCGCTACCACAACAGCGCCTCAGAGCCTGTCAACTAGGTCACGCCTCGCGCTAACCTAACACCGCGCAGGCCCCGCCTCCCAGCCGCTAGCCAGCGCCGCCTCCCATTGGCTGCACCGCCCGCCGCTCTCCGCGTTCCAGCCACCGCGCGCCCCGACTTCGGCCCCAGGGCGCACGCGCAGGCGCAGGCTCGGGCCCGACGCCGAGGACGTTAGGGAGCTGGAGGGGGCGGAGCCAGGGCGCGAGGGGGCTGGAGACGGCCTCGCGACGGGGGCGGGGCGTGGAGCGGGAGCCCGGGAGGAGCATGAGGCGGCTGGCGCTTCCCCCGGCCTCTCCAAGTCAGGGGGACCGGAAGGCGTGGCCTACATGGCCAGGTGCGCTAGGGGACAGGGGAGGAGAGGGCGAATGCTGCCTCAGGGACTGGAAGGTGGGAAAGTGGGAGGAGATGTGAGTCAGCACGGCTTGTCAATGCTCTAACTGCTCCGTCGGGATGGATTTTACCAGATAATCTGAAGCTTTCCTCTTGGTGGGCAAATATAACTGGAAGAAGTGAAAGGACTGGGAAATGGTTCCAGACAATATACAATCGGCTTATCGACCTTGTAGTGAAAATTACAAATTTCGCTGGAGTTCAGTGAAGTTCAGAAAAAACGAAGGTAATCTGGACTACTCAAAGATTTTAAGAACCGGGAAATAGTGGGCAACGAAAATGTTATATTGGAAACAAAAGTCTTACATCAAAGCAAATACAAATTTGCTGGTATTAACCAGAGCCAGGTCATCTTATCGTTTTATTCCTTCACCAAATGCTTCAGGTCAAGGCTTCAGGTCAAGAGCTGGCTTGATATTGGGTAATACTAATATGTTGGTGTTCTGAAAATCCAGTTCCAGTAGAGTCTGCCGCAAGAGTAAGGTGACCTAGAATTTAGAAGAAGTTTGGTAACCCCTCCCTAAACTTATTGCGTTTTTAAATATCAGACCATCTACAAGGCTGATTTGGTGGATGCAGTGAATCCACATTTATTTGACAATTAGGGTGCTGTATTATGTGTTGTACTTAAGCCAGGTGTGTAAGAGCAACTAATTATTTGGAACACATTTTTTTAAACAGTAAAAGAAAAAAGGAAGAAAGGGTGAGGCCCCATTAAGAATTGTAAAGAATGAAATGTTTTGAATAACAGGATGCTCTCATGAGGATGATTCATAACATAGTAAAGTAATAATTTTTATTTTGACATTGTCTCTGCTGTTTTTCTTTTAATGTGGGGAAGTACCTAAAAATTTATTTGCCTGAGAGAAATAGGGAAGCCTTCAAGAAGAAAGTGACATTTGAGCTAGTAATAAAAATATGCATTCATTTATTGGCAATGGAAATAAAAGGAGGACTGAGACAAGACACGTTACCAAGGTTGAATCAATAAAAATTGGTAATGGAATAGATTTGGGGAAGAAGATAAGGATGAGAAAGAAGATAAGGGTTTCACAGGATAATGAAGGAGGAGAGTAGCAATATTATTAATAATATTAGGCAATACAGGAGCAATTGCAGATTTTGTGGGAAAGATCTTGAATTCCTATTTAGAAATGCTAAATGTAAGGCATCTGCAGGGAAGTACATCATACTGGGCACTTTCCCTTCTGTTACAACAGGGAAACTGTTTCCAACCCAACCTAGGGCCAGTCCTTCCACCTGTGCTTTCTTAGGAACATACACTATTGGTTATCCTTTGTCTCATGGCGACTCAAAGAACTGGAACCATCCACCAATTTTTAAACTTTCTCAAGTCTCTCCCATATTTAAAAAAATAAAATCCTCCTATGATCTGACAACCCCTCCAGCTACTGCTTCTCCTTCCTTTCTAAAAGGTTGGCTATACCTGCTGTGTCAATTTCCTTACATCCCACTTTCTGCTCTTCAGTCCACTCTAATCTGGGATCTATCCTATCAGTCAACTGAAATATCTCTTATTAAGGTGACCAATGACCTTCATGTGCTATTAAATGGACATTTGTCAATCTTTCTCTTACAAGATCTCTCAGCAGCATTGAAAATTGTTAACCTCTCATTCCTCCTTGCAGCATTCTTTTCCTTTAATTTCCCAACCCTTTTGAGTTTCCTCCTCTCTGGCCATTCCTTCTCATTCTCCTTTGCTAGCCCATCTTCCTTTTCAGCCATTACATTTTGGAGTTCGTTAAGGCTCAGTACTAGCCCTTTGTCTCTTTTCAGTTGGTACTGTTTCTTTGAATAATTTCATCCATACTCATGACTTCAATTATAACAGTGATTCTCAACCAGGTGCAGTTCTGCCTCCCAGGGGACACTGGCAATGTCTGGAGACATTTTTGGTTGTCACAACTAAGGGAAGAATGCTGTTGGCATCTAGTGGATAGAGGCCAAGGATGCTGCTAAACAGCCTACAATGCACAGGACAGACCCCAACAACAAAGAATTATCTAGCCTAAAATGTCAGTACTGCTGAGGTTAGGAAACCCTGATTTACACCAATAACTCCCGAATTTATTATCTCCAGCAAAAATTTTTTCTTGAGCTTTAGACCTATACATGCTACCATATACTGGTTCTCAACTTTAAGAGGCAGTGTTATGTACTGGTTAAAAGGCATCTGGAGCCAGATCACCTGGATTCAAATCCTAGGTTTACCCTTATTGGCTATATGACCCTTGGCAAGTTACCCAAAGTCTCTGTTGCTAGGTTTTTTAATCTACTATATGGAGATTATGTATAGTATCTACCTTATAAATTTATGTGAGGATTAAATGAGTTAAAACACGTAAAAGACTTAGAACAGTGACTAACACATAGTAAATGTGTGAGCAGAGATGCTCACTAATACAATTTCCTTTCTCTTGGCCCATAGGAAGACTATATTTCCCAGCCTCCCTTGAAATTAGTTAGGACATGTGAATGCATCCTGAGTGGGTTATAGGACAGAAGTGACGTATGCTACTTCCAGGCCTGACCATCAGATCCCCTATGCACTCATCTATAGTCTCTCTATCCTTTCCACAGTTATCTCAGATGCAGCATCTAAAGAAGGAAATTAGCTTAGTTACCTGAGTCACTGTATGGAAGAGTATTTCAGGGATACAAGGAGTACCACATCAGGTCATGATATAAACAAGAAACTTTTATTGTGTTAAGGCATTAGTATTTAGAGGGTATTTGTTTCAGCATTTAGTATTAATTATTCAGACAAAATACCATTATCATCCAAAAATGTTAAATATTAATATTTAATGTCTCAAAAGTACCTGAACTGTACCATGTGCCACACTAAACTCATGATCTTTCGCCCAACTTATACCTCTTCCAGTGTTCTCTACCTCTTTGAATTGCTCCGTCACCCATTCAGTTGAACAATCTAGAAACCTAAGCTCCATCCCTGGTACTTATAACTTCACTCTCATTTTAAATGAATTGATATACCTTCCCAACACTCTCCTTTCCAATAGCACTGCAGTAAGCTCAGTCTGAATTTAAGTGGACTACTGCAGAAGACTTCCTAACTAGCCCACATGTCCACTTTTGCCCCTCCTCTGTCCATTCTCTACTCTGTATCTAGAGTTATCTTGTCAAAGGTGATCATGTCATCTCACTGTTGTAAATCACTCAATGACTTTCTGGTAGTCTTTGCTATGGACTGAATTGTGTTTCTTCAAAATTTATATGTTGAAGCCTTAGCCCCCAATGTGATTATATCTCAAGATAGGGTCTTTAGGAGGTGATTAAGGTTAAGTGAGCTCATAAGGGTGGGGCTCTAATCCAGTAGGACTGTGGCCTTATAAGAAGAGGAAGAAATTTCTTCCTCCAACCCCTCGATGTAGAGACATAGTGAGAAGATGGCCATCTACAAGCCAGGAAGAGAGCCTTCACCAGAACCAGACCATGCTGGCACTCTGATCTTGGACTTCCAGCCTCTGGAACTGTGAGAAAATTAATTTCTGTTGTTTAAGCTACCTAGTCTATGATATTTTGTTATGGCAGCCTGATCTGACTAATATAGTCCTACTGTAAAAACTAAATCCATTAAGAATGGCGTGACCATCACCTACCAATTTTGCTTTTTCTTATACCATGCACCACTCCCACCACCCAATCTCTGGTTCCAATCATACCAACCCTTACAGTTTTTCATTTCCTTGAACACATCTTATTCTCACCACATGGCCTTTCCACATGTTTTTTGGAATACCTGGGACCTGATTTGTTTAGTTAACCCATTCTCATTCTTCAGAGTTCAGCTTAAATATCACTTCCTGGCAAAACATTCCCTAACTCTAATCCCACCTGACTTCTACCCACAGTTTCCTCTTATATGCCCTCAGTGCTCACTTAGTTTCCTATAAACACTTTTTATGGTTTTTAATTATACGTTTATTTTTGTGATTATTTTATTAATATTTATCTTTTACTCTGGACCTGTAAACTCTCTGAGGACAGGAAATATGTCTTTTTGCTCACCATCCACAGAGAATGGCACAATGCCTGGCACATAATGGACTCTCAATAAATATTTATTGAATGAATAAAAGAATGAATGAAAGTTAAATGAGCAGCCATAGAAAGATGTTGGCAAAACTAAGGAAGAGCACATGAGACCAAAAGGGGTTACCTTAGGGAGGCCCTAATTTTAATGTGAAGACTAAGAGAGGAACTAACAACTGAAATTAATTAAAGCCTCAAAGAGAGTTGCCATTCATCTTTAGCATACAGTTGGTATTCAGTACATGAATGAATGCATAAAGGAGTGAAAGAAGAATGAGAAGTTGTGTTCAAGAGTGTAGAAAAATAATTGCAATTCAACTTTCAGAGAAACCATTAATATATTTTCAAGAAGATGTTTGTGGTCAGAAATGTCAGATGTCTCACAGAGATCAAGTAGGATGAGAACTGAGAAAAGATAATTGGATTTATAGTCTATGTAAATTAGTGAAAATAAAAACAAGTAGTTGAAGAATAAGTGGGGGGCAACAAGCTGGAAGCAGTGATTATGGACTATTCTTTTTTTTTTTTTTTTTTTTTTTTTTTTTTCCCCCAAAGCCCCAGTAGATAGTTGTATGTCATAGATGCACATCCTTCTAGTTGCTGTACGTGGGCCGCGGCCTCAGCATGGCTGGAGAAGTGGTGCATCGGTGCGCGCCTGGGATCCGAACCCGGGCCGCCAGCAGCGGAGCGCGCGCACTTAACCGCTAAGTCACGGGGCCGGCCCTGGACTATTCTTTTGAGATGTTTAGAGGCTAAAGGATAAGTAGATGAGATAGTAGTTGAAAGATACTAGAGTCAAGGGAAAATTTTTCTAAGAGAGGTGGAATGAAATGTTTATAAATTAAGAAGATTGGTGACAAAAAGATTGAAAAAAAAAAAGAGAGAGAGAGAGAGAGAGAGAAAAGAAGGACAAATATTAGATACACTTAAGTACCAGAGAAAGTGGATGTGGATAGAATCAAAAGTGAGAGTAAAAGACTTGCACTTAGAATATAGGAAGGGCATTTCATCTTTTGGGATGAATTAGAAAAAGAATGAATAGATAGAGATTTAAAAATTTTTTAAATAAAAAGAAAGTCAAGGGAAGATAAGTCAAATGACCTCAATTTCAGTAAAAGTAGGAAGCAAAATCCTCTGCTTGAAAGATGCTGATAATTCTGGATCCAAATGAGGACTGCAAAAATGGATGATATTTAAAAGTTTAAATAAATTATATTTAGGCAATTTTAAAAAGTACAGAAGTTAGGAAATTTCCATTTTGAAGTTCCTTGGTGAAAGGAAAAGACATTAGAGACTCTGGTAGACTGAATAATGGTCCCAAAGATTTCCAGAACCTAATCTCTGGAACCTATGAATGTTGCCCTGTTTGGAAAAGGGACTTTGCAGATGTGATTGAGGATCCTCAGTTGGGGAGATTATGCTGTACTATCTTGGTGGTCCCTAAATGGAATCACAATGTATCCTTATAAGAGACAGAAGATTAAACTACAGAGAGGAGAAGGCAAAGTGATGACTGAGCAGAAATTAGAGTGATGTGGCTACAAGTAAATGAATGTGGGCAGCCACTAAAAGCTGGAAGGTACCAGGCAATGAATGGATTCTGCTCTGGAACCTCCAGAAGGAACTAGACATGCCCTTAATTTTAGTCCTGTAAAAATTCTTTTGGACTTCTGACCTTAAGAACTATAAGAGAATACATTTCTGTTGTTTTAACCCACTAAATTTGTGGTAATTTGTCACAGCATCAATGAGAATCTAATAAAGGGAGTAAACTTGTAATTTCAAGGCAATAAATATGTCTGTTTCTGAAGTAACTACCTGGACACACTGTAAAAGTTGAATATATTTTAGGTATAATTTTTCAACTAGCTCCATTACTTGGATATATTTAATATTTCCATGCTTTTGCCTAAATATTCATTTTGATTTCTGGTCCTAGCCTTGAGAGCACTCACCCATGAAATGCCCATATTGTTTAAGATAGTAGAGAAGGCATTTTAAAACACTTTTAATGAAAGTTTAATGAAACATCTTTTTTTCTAAAAGTCATTGATGACTTGGATGTTTGTGTTTGTCCCAGTAAAACCTCAGCAGTTCCTTACTTGAACAGAGGATAAACATTTTCACCCAGATGGGGACCAAAGACTTGGTCCATATGTTTCTTGTCCTTCATAGCCTTGAAATGTTAGATTAAAGAATGTTGTCAGGTCAGCTCATGCACTTAATTGTGTTTTTACATACATGCAGTTTGCACCTCTGGAGGTAACATAAAAATAAGAACTTCCAGCAACTCTGAATATCATTTGAACATTAGTGTGGACATGTACAAATTGGACTTCTGGTCCCTTCCTTTAGTTTCAGAGAGCAACTCCTACCCATTTCAAGCCTATTCCTTATCTCCCACCAGAAGAACAGCAGACTAGATACTGGTTTTCTCCCACAGCCTGCTCTCTCCAGCAGCTGGCTTCATTCTGGTTGAAAGGAACTTTCTGGCAGCTCATTGGCTGAAGAGTAAGAAAGTGGTTGCTTAGCAACTGAGTCCTGACCCCCCAGACCTGAAAAGAGGAAGCTTGTGGGCCAGCCACCTAACTCTGCCTGTGTTACACTGAGGAGGAGCTGCTTAGTAGAAGATGAAGCCCTTGTCCCTATTCATAGAGATATTGATAATTCTTGGGGTCACAATTAAAAGTAAGTTTTTCTGTCCTGATTGTTCTCTATGAGGGTCTTTCTACTCTGACAGCACTAAGGGTGGAAGCTGATTAGAAAACCAGAAGTAACCTCAATATATTCCCAATTAATACCATTTTTGGATAAATACTTAAAAATATCCAGTAAGGATAGATAGTAATGATACTCTCATTTAGGACAATACTTGGGAAGGACATTTGTGTGTGTGTGTATGAGAGAGAGAGAGAGAAATAGGGAGAAAAGATTGAGCAAATCTATGAAGAAAGCATTATAGTAATTTTTATAGAGTAGGGATATTTTAGACAGATTTTTACATTTTGTTAGGTCTAGAATATCATGAAGATCTAGTTCCAGGACTTTAAAGGAAAAGTATAGGACTCAAAGAGTGGCAAAGTGCAATAAATTTATACTCTTATAATTTTCTTGGATCTTTTCACAATAACAATTCTACTTCCAAAGTTTCCATGTTTCCTAACTGGTTAAAATGGAAATTGTTAAAATCGAAAATTATTTAAATAATTTTTAAAATGGAAATTATTTTAAAATGGAAATTTTAAAATGGAAATTGTTTTAAAATGGAAATTTTAAAGTGGAAATTATTTTAAAATGGAAATTTTAAAATGGAAATTTTAAAATAAATAGAAATTATTTTAAAATGGAAATTATTAAAATGGAAATTTTAAATGGAAGTTATATTAAAAATGGAAATCATTTTCCAGTATTGTTTCTCTGGCCATTTATTGAGTTAATTTTGACCCAATCCTCAGATAATTTACTTATCATGAATTCAATTAAAAAAAAATTTTTTTTTGCATTTAAGCCAGGAATGCAAGGTTGGTATGAAATCAAAAAATTAATTAATGTAACACACCACATCAATAGAATAAAAACAAAGACTACATGATCATTTCAATTGCAGAAAAAGCACTTGACAAAATTCAGTGGTTCTATGTTATAAAAACACTCAACAAGCTGGGAACAGAAAAAAACTTTCTCAGCCTAATAAAGGGCATCCTCAAAACACCCACAACTAATATTTTTAATGGTGACAGAATAATTGCTTTCCCCCTAAGATCAGGAACAAGATAAGGATATCCACTCGTACCATTTCTATTTAACATTGTCCTGGAGGCTCTAGCAGAGGCAATTAGATAAGAAAAAGAAATAAAAGACATTAAGATTGGAAAGGAAGAAGTAAAATTATCTCTATTCACTAATGACATGATCTTGTATACAGAAAATCCTAACAAATCCACTAAAAAACTATTAGAACTAATAAATGAGTTCAGCAAGGTTGCAGAATAAAAGATCAATATACAAAAATCAATTCTATGTCTATACAGTCACAATGAATAAACTAAAAAGGAAATTAACAATTCCATTTACATCAGTAGCAAAAAGAATAAAATACTTAAGAATAAATTTAACAAAAGAAGTGCAAAGCTCATACTCTAATAGCTACAAAAATTGTTGAAAGAAATTAAAGAAAACCTCGATAAATGAAAATACTACCTATGTTCATGTATTGAAAAACTTAATATTGTTAGGATGGTGATTCAATACAATCCCTATCAAAACCTCAGCTGCTTTCTTTGCATAAATTAATAAAATGATCTGAAAATTAATATGAAAATGAATAATCTTGGAAAAAAAGAACAAAGTTGGAGGACTCACACTTTGTAATTTCAAAACTTACTACAAAGCTACAGTAATCAAGACAGTGCAGTACTGGCATGAGGATAGACATATAGATCAATGGAATATCATTGAGAACTCAGAAATAAACCCTCACATTTATGGCCAATTGATTTTTGGGAGGGATGCCTAGACAACTCAATCAGAAGAGGAAAGAATAATCTCTTCAACAAATGGTGGGAACAACTGGAGAGCCACATGCAAAAGAATGAATATGGATGCTTACCTTAGACCATATACAAAAATTAATTCAAAATGAGTCAAAAACCTAAATATAATAGCTAAAGCTTTAAAACAGTTAGAAGAAAATGTAGGCATAAATCTTTGTGACATTGGATTAGACAATTATTTCTTAGATATGCCACCAAAAACACAAGCAAAAAAGGAAAAAACAGAGAAACTGGACATCATCAAAATTAAGCACTTTTATGCTTCAAAGGACATCATCAAGTAACTGAAAAGACAACCCATAGATGGGAGAAAATTTTGGCAAATCATGCATCCAATAAGGAGTTAATATTCAGAATATATAAATAACTCTTACAACTCATCAACAAAATGACAAACAACTCAATTGTAAACATGGGCAAGGGAATTGGAAAGACCTTTCTCCAAAGAAGATATACAAATGACCATCAAGTGCATGAAAAGATACACAACATCATTGATCATTAAGAAAATGCAAATAAAACTACAAGGAGGTACAACATCACACCTGTTAGGATGGCTATAATAAAAAAGTGGAAAATAATAGACTTTGTCAAGGATATGGAGAAATAGGAACCATCGTACATTGCTAGTGGGAATGTAAAATGGTACAGCCACTATGGAAAACAGTTTGGCAGTTCCTCAAAAAGTTAAATAGTTACCATATGACCTATCAATTCCACTAGTAATTATATACCCAAGAGAAATGAAAACATGTGTCCACCAGAAAACTTGTACACAAATGTTTATAAAAGCATTATTCATTATACAGTCATGAGCCACATAATGACACTTCAGTCAATGATGGACTGCATATACAACAGTGGTCTCATAAGACTAGCACCATATAGCCTAGGTGTGTAGCAGGCTATACCATCCAGGTTTGTGTAAGTACACTCTATGATGTTCTCACAATGACAAAGTCACCTAACGACACATTTCTCAGAATGTATCTTTGTCCTTAAGCAGCACATGACTGTAGTTAAAAGGTGGAAACAACCTAAATGTCCATCAATGGATGAGTAGATAAACAAATTGTGATATATACATACAATGGAATATTATTTATAGCCATAAAAGGAATGAAATAGTGATACATCTATTCTGCAATTGGATGAACCTCAAAAACATGATGAGTGAAAGAAGCCACACAAAAGTCCACATATTATATAATTCTTATTATAGGAAATATAAGTGAAATATCCAGAATAGGCAAATTCATAGAGACAGAAAGCAGATTAGTGGTTGCCAGGGGGTCAGGGAGGGGAGAATGGTGAGTTATTTAATGAGTACAGAGTGTACTTCTGGGGTAAAGAAAAAGTTTTCAAGCTAGAGAGAGATGGTAGTTGCACAACATTGTGAATGCACTAAATATCACTTAATTGTACACTTTAAAATGGTTATTGTATGTTATGAATTTCACCTCAAATTTTAAAAAATAGTGCAATGCTTTGGAAAACAGTCTGGCAGTTCCTCAAAAGATTAAACATGGAATTACCATATGATCCAGAAATCCCACTCCTAGATATATACCCAAGAGAATTGAAAACTTCTTGCCACACAAAAACTTGTACACAAATGGCAGCATTATTCATAGTAACCAAAAAGTGGGGAAAAAACAAATGTCCACTAACTGATGAATGGATAAATAAAATTTGGTATATCCGTGCAGTGGAATATTATTCAGCAAAAAAAGGAAGGAAGTAACATGTGGATGAACATTGAAAACATTATGCTAAGCAAAAGAAACTAGACACAAAAAGCCACATATTGTGTGATTTCATATATATGAAATGTCAACAATAGGCAAGTCCACAGAGACAGAAAGTAGACTACCGGTTACCTAGGGCTGGGAGTTACAGGGGAATTGGGGAGATGATGGCTAAGAGATACAAGATTTCTTTTAGGGTAATTAAAAGGTTCAAAAATCTTGGTAATGGTTGCACAAATCTGTGAATTTCCTAAAAGCCATTGAATTGTAGGGAAAAAAAGAAATATTTAATAAAAGTTATGTGCCAGGAGTACTGCGATACAAGAATATCTAAGACACTGTCCTTATCCTTGAACAGCTTTGAGTCTAGAAGAGAAAAACAAGTAAACAAGTGAATAAATTGTAAAGTGTTATAGGTGTTAAAATAAAAGCATTTACCAGGTACTGTAGGGCATAAATGAGGGAGTGGCCAATTCTACCAATGTGTGGAGTGGTCAGAAAGTTTTCATAAAGGAAACGGCATAAACTGAATCTTGAAAGATTAGTGAGTGTTCACTAAGCAGACAAGGAGAACAAGAACATTTCAGACCAGGTAAAGGGAACAAAGACGCAGAGGAATAGAAGGGCATGGTCTACAAATAGGTATATCAGTTTGCTGTGGGTGTAGGATATTAGAAGGAACACAGCAATTGATGAGGCTGGAGTGGTAAGCAGAGACTTTGTGTGACAGGCTATGAAGTTTAGGCTTTATCCTCTGAGCAATAGAGAGTCATTTAAGGGTTTACTCATTGAAGAACATGAATAGAATTATGCTTTTAAAAATGACTTTGGCATTAGAGAAGTGGATGGATTCTAGCTGTATAACTCTGGTGACAATATAACCAGTAGCAGACTACTGAATGGCCCAAACAAGAGATGAGAGGACTTAAACTACAGCAATAACAGTGGGGACTGAGAGGAGTAGATGGATAACAAGGCTAGAGAGAATAGTGTCACAAAAGTCCACGGTGAGAGAATGCCAAGAAACTGGGAATGGCCAATAGTGCCAAAGGCCAGAGAGAATGGAGAGGTGAGCTAAGGATCAACAAGTGACCATCGGATTTAATAGCTGGGGAATCTTCACAGTTCCAGGACAGTTATATCAGAGAAGCAGGGATGAAACATGATTTCAATTGGTGGGAGTGAACAGGAGAGGAGAAAGTAGAGACAGTGATGATGATTACAGAAATCTTCCTGGATTATGGTGCGTTGTGGGGTCAGACATGAGTTTTCTAAAGATCTCAGAGGTCTACAGAAGCCCACAGAAGTAGTTAGAGGGGAAGAAGACAGTTGCTTTACAAGCTAGTGCTGAAAGACCTAAAATTCATACATAAATTCAGCCCTTAAG